TGAGGTATACCTATGATGAAAATTACAGGCCTCTCTCATCTTTTTAAGTGGGAGAACTTGCACAATTGGTGGCTGACTAAATACTTTTTTGCCCCACTGTATGTAGGAACCGTTGCTTTGCAGAAGGGGATGAAGCATTTCTTAAGTTCAGAACAACGAGATAACATTATGGAAGTAGCCCAGGCAGATGCCTCCCTAATTAATTGAACTGTAAGGAGGAGGAGGAGGTACAGCGCAGCCTGACTTGCAAAATTCTGCTGTTATAGCAAATCACAATAAAAGTAGTTTTAGCTTCCTGTGGAGTTGATTTCCTGATCTGATCTACCTAGTGGGGCTGACAATCAGGGCACTGCAGAATTCATGGGGAAAGTCTGGCTTTGGGACTTGGGCTGAGTTTCTGTAGGGTGGGTTGTCTGCCACTTCTCCCATGCCCCATTTTGGCATCTCCCAAGTTTAAATAATGTGAAGGAAAGAAATCAGGGAAGACATAGTTCCAAAGAGGAAAGAGGCAGACCCTGCCATGGGTCTTACACAGCAGGACAACAGAAATCGAGTAGCATCTGGACAGCTAGGTTGGTTAAGTATGTGAAAGAAACGAATACAGGGAAACTGGCAAATATGCAAACACAGCCCTCCCTCAATTCTCTAGACACTGCAACAAGGAAAAGCAAGTCTGCTGAAACTGAAGCCAAAGTTACGTTTCAGAACATTGTAGAAAGGAATTCACAAAAACATGGCCCCTCTTCTGTATTTGGCTTGTTATTTTGTGCCATTTTTCTGCACTCTGCATAAAATTGCTTACCCTGAAAGGGATTAGGATGGTGGGGGTACATTTATGTATGTGTGGTTAACATACATACAAAGCTCTCTCAGGCTGAAAACTAGTCAAGTTCTTGGGACCAAAGGGGAAATTGTCTGGTCAGGCCATGATTGTAGTATGGTCAAACACAAGAGGAGAGAGACTAAGAGACATTGGCAGGACTGGAAGCTTCACCCACAGCTCAGCTACCCTTGATCAGTCTGAGTTCTCCTTGAAGGAAAGGTCCTGGCCATCAGCCTACCCAGTTCCTCTTGACTTCTCTTCCTTTGAGGAAGCAAAAAGATGGGAAAGGGAAGTAGGAAAATACTGCAGGGGTTGCAGATAGAAAATAACAGTCCAGTGTGATACTGTATAGCTAAAGTTTTTCAGAGATTGAAAGATTCCCTTTCTTTTGGAATATAATTTAAATCTTTAACCCGTAACTGTCAATGAAATACCTGGTTCGACATACCACTAATGTCTAACCAATAAGTAAATTACAAGTAGCCCACAGTAAATAAGATATTGGGACCATGTTATCTGAGGACTGTCTCTCCCTGGTTTTTTCTACCTGTCCAATCTTGGTCCAGCAGGAGGGGCACACTTTAGGTCCCGTCAGCTAAGGAATGTAGGTTGGGGGGGCCCAGAAGGCATGCCTTTTCTGCTGCTGCGTCCACCCTATGGAATATTCTCCCTTCAGAGATCAGGATGGCCCCAACCTTGCTGGCCTTTTGTAAGGCCCTAAAGACCTGGCTCTGTGCCCAGACCTGGGGCCCCGAGTGCGTGAAGTGATCCGTCTCCTGGCTGTATTGGCATTTGTTGACTGTGATATTTTCCTTGGCCATGTATTTTAATGTTCTTATGGTTGGAATTGTTTTTATTTTTATTTAATATTGTTCTCTGGCCAGAGTCACTTGTTGAGATGGGCAGCTATACAAATTGATTGAATGAATGAATGAATGAATATTAAATTTATATGCTGCCTGACTCCCAGAGACTCTGGGTGTGGCAGGTTGAAGTGCCTGGCTGAAGGAAAGTGGTTGGTCTGTGCCAAGGTTGTGGGCTTTTTAGGGAAGGCAGGTGACTCAGCACAAGAGCACAAGCACACAGGCAAAAAGGGGAGAAATGCTGGACGTACCTGTACAGTGGCATAAACTGACCTGGATATGAGATATAAAAAGAGGCAGGAAAAGCAGGGAAGGGGGGGTTGTATTGCAGATGCTGCAGGACGTGCTGCTGGGGCGGACGTCACCTGGGAAGTGTGGAGTGAAGCAGAGGCTGCAAGTCCAGAGATTCCGGCCCTGAGAAGAGGAAGACCGCGAAGAGAATCCTGGAGCGGCTTGTGAAGAGACCAGAACGGGCTGTGTTGTGTTCAGGGAGTTTCAGGTACTTCAAGTTTAAGGCTTTGTCTGGCAACAAGAGAGCCAGGGCCGCTCGCAGGCGTTCCATTATTAGCCATTGAGACGAGGAGGGAGAAAAGAAGCCGAAATTCAGCACAAGCAAAAGTGAGGGAAAGGGAGTTGAGAGGCTGGAATTAAGGAATACATACCTACATACGCACACATATATAGTTATGTACCTACTAGGTTTTGTAAATTGTGTTTCACTTGTATACAGTAGCTCACACTATTATATTTGTATAAGTATCTTAGTGTTTAGAATAAACCCCCTCATTTGTTTAAGTGCTGTCCATGTGCGTATTTGTATCATCTCCTATCTTGACCCACCCTCTGACATTGGATGGCTTACAAATTGTTTAAAACATTAAACACAAACAAAAAGAATTCAACAAAAGACAAAAATAAAGAGGAAAGATGGCAAGGATGACAAAATCGCATGGGAACAAAGGGAAACAACCCACATGGTCTAAAGGGGTGTTGGAAAGTACATAGTTATGAGAAAGCTGAACTAATGCCATTTTAAAAGGGAAGTTAATGTTTCATCATTATAGAGGAGCGAGTGGGTCATGTAGATAGATAAGAAAGGAATGAGAAGAAACTTTTACGCTTCCAGTGACAGAGATAAGGTGTGCCAACTAGAGAGTGAGAAATCAGGCCATTCCTTTTTTTGGAAAGTCAAACTTGAGAATTTTAGAATTAGGCATGCGCAAACTAGTTGCTTGTACCTGACTTTAAAAGGATGTTGCACCCCTGGCTGGGGGCCTACTGCACTCAATGCTCAGTGCTCTTGCCTTGTGCGCTAAATAATTCTTTTTGAACTCTGAACCATGGCGTCTGGTGTTTGACCTGAGCAAGGAACAAACCACAGGGAAAAAACAATGGGTTTCACTCCCCCTCTCCAAAGGCCTGGATGAAGAGCCAGGTCTTCACGGCTCTTCAAAATACCAGTAGGGTGGGAGTTGTTTGGATATCGGGGGAACCACATTTCAGAGGGCAGGCGCTGCCACAGAGAAGGGACACTTCTTGGGTCCCGATGGCACTGTTTAATCAAAGGAAGCTGGAGCACATCAACTCTGCCAGATCAGGTCTGTTGGGCATATTCTATGGGAGACAGGCAATCCCTCAAGTACCAGGCCCTATGCCATGTACAGCTTTATAGGTAGTGGCCAGCGCCTTGAGTTGAAGCAAACTGGCAACCGGTGCAGCTCATGAGGGAGAGGTGCTACATGGGCATGCCTGTGCTGCTGCATTCTGGACCAGCTGAAGATTTTGGGTGATCTTCAAAGGCAGCCCCATGTAAAGTGCGTTGTAGTAGTTAAGCCATGAAGTGACCAGGGCATGGCTGTCCGTCTGAAGGGCCTCCTGATCTAGGAAAGGGCACAACTGGCACACTAGATGACTGTGCAAAGTCTTCTTGGCCACAGCTGGCACTCGCTTATCAAGCAGGAGCTGTGAGTCCAGAAAGACCCCCAAGTTGCACACCACCCTTCAATAGGGAAGTGCCACCCTGTCCAAGGTCAGAGATGGAATATACCCAGATCTGGGCAGCCCAAAACCCCACAGCCACTTGGCCTTCCTAGGATTGAATTGGAGATGGTTCCTCCCCACCCAAACCTGCACAGCTTCCGGGCACCAGGACAGAACCTTGACAGCCTCCCTTGGCTGGCCCAGGCTCAGAAGATACAACTATTATTAGCATACTACTGATACCGAACCCCAAACCAGTGGATGACCTCACCCAGTGGTTTCATGTAGATGTTCAAGGTTACTACATCTCCAGCACAGATGGTGAAAAAGGTGCCCAGGTACTCATGCAAGTATTGTGTAGCTCCAACTCTACATGATACTTCTGTAGGGTTTAGGTGCAATTCATTGTTTAAAAATTAAATCAGAACATTGAAATAATGGAAGAATACTAGATAATTAATAATCTGATATCTACCTTTCTTTAAATGGATGTGTGTGTGTAGACAGGGATATGGAATAGGTATTCTGATTTTTAACGACTTTAGTTTGTGTTTCCTTTTTAAACTTTTCCTTCTATTTCTTAGTTTTTTTCTTTTGTTTGCTAGGTAGTTTAGTATAGATTCTTTTCCCTTCACCTTCGTGTGTGTGTGTGTATACACACATACAAACATACATAAACACAGAGGTTTTCTAACTATGTAAACTAAATTTATATTTAGTTATATATAATACGACACACTGTTAATGGTTTAAACCAATGCTAATTGTAATGCTTTTAATTTTATTAAACTTTATTAAGTTTAATAGGGAAAGAAATAAAAAATGCCCCCCTCCTCCCCAACTCCAAGAATGAAGCAGCAAAAGCCCTCCTAAAACCACTGCCCTGATTCCATTCCTCTGTGGTTGCGGCAGCTTTACCTCGAAGGGCTGGGAGCTGATCTGCAAAATTTTAATGGGCCAAAGGAAAATCTGGCTCTGCTGGGGGACTAGCAGCTTTCTACTAACAATGGCCTGCAGGGGCTTCCTTTAATATGACCTTGATTGTCAAGAGATTTTGCTATTTTATCTCTTCCCTTAAAAGCAGCATTTCAGGGGCGCAGAATCGGTTAAATACCTGGACCTGCCCATAGACTTCCGAGCCTTGCTACAAGGACCATTTCTTAACATCTTCTTCCCTTGGAAGAGGGAACTGCCAGAAGAAAACTGCCAGTCACCATTTTCTGTAATTTAGGGACTTCTGGCTTTCTCTCCCTCATCACCTCTGCTTTTTTTTGCCTTGGAGCAATCAGCACCAGCATTACCGCAGCAACACAGATGCCTAGGCAACTTTTAAAAATCACGACCGTCGGAGTTACTCCCCTCGATGAGTGTTTAGCCCTCCCCGGCAAACTGTAGCCAACCGGACGCTTTGGGAAGCAGCTCCCATCACTCATGGTGGTCAGCACCTAGAAGCGTGAGGTTTCCCATGCACTCCGCAGAGCAACCCCTGGGCTTCCCCAGAAGAGGGAGGACCCGCCACCCCACTATATCCCATGGACTCCTGGAAGAACAGCTAAGCCAACCATCTGATCACAAAAATAAATTTAAAACTGTACCACTTGCTGAAGTGTGCTCATCCTGCTTTAGATTTGCGCCTGACCACGACGTGTTGAATGCTTGGGAAGAATGTCGGAGCACTGTCTGAGCCTCTAAGTCAGGAATGTGTGCTTAGTCACCCGTTACACCATGATGCAAACATTTAGTTTAGCAGGTGGGAAGCCGCTCTGAAAGTTTCCACTCAAACAGGAGCAACAGGCAAGGAACATGTGGAGTAAGTACCTACAGACTGGGGGACAACTTTATTCTGAAGTCCCTTTCACTTTTGAAGGGCTCACTGAATAACCAGCATTGCAGGTTGGCCAAACAGCAAGCATGGTCTGTTTGCGATCTCAGGATCTACTGGAGTTAATTCCTGAGTAGTTCTTAGTGGGTACAATGCCCTTGGCTGGCCCTGCCCTTGTTTCTGTGGCTTTTCGCTGCTCACATGCTGTCTGTGTGTGACCAGAACAAACTTCAAAACCAAGAAACAAAGGCAGAGGGTCTTTGGGGGCTACCTGCTACAGTGTGGGCCTTGTCCTCAGTCTTGTCCTCAGGTCTGTAATTCATAACCTGATACCCTGCCTTTCATTCAGGGCAAAAGGGGGACACACAGCGTTCCCTCCTCCCACAACCCTGTAAGGTAGGTTGGGCTGAGAGAAAGTCACCCAGGGAGCTTTCACAGCTGAAGGTGAACGTGGGTCTCCACAGCCCTATACCAACTGGTTCCCAGGTCTGTTGCTCCCTATGAAAAAATGGCTCCAACATTACTTACTGGAGGTTTGCAACTGAAGTACGTTGCAATTCAGATAATACATGAGAAACTGAAATTGGGGAGAAAGCTAGTGCTGAACATTAACCTCTCTACCATGCTGGCTCTCAGTTTGGGACAGAGTAAGACCATCGCCCTGCAGGAACTGGAACTCACAGTTCTTAAGTGGATCTTTTATTGCCCTGTTGACCTTTCTGCATTTTAAGCTGTAAATTTTACACTCCAGTTTCCTGTCCTGTGAGTTATACTTCATTAACCATACACCTTTGCCTAGAGGACTATTTTCCTTGGCTAGAGGGAGGAGATATTATGAACATGCGCAGTAACTCATGTTTTTAAGTAAGTTTAAATGCAGGGTATTTTTCATGCTCATATCAAATATTCTGGTATAAAATAAAAAGGGTGAAAATAACGACTTTAACAGATAGAAACTGAGAAACAAATATTCTTCCTGGGGGGGGGGAGGATTCTGGTTCAAGCATCACACACTCCCACAGTTGGTTTTGTCTGTAAACTACTCCCACTTTTAATTCAGAAACAGAAACAAATAGACATGGATCCTTGCCCACTTTTTTCTGCCTTCTATTAGGCGGAAACAGGAAAGCAGATCGCTATTTTGTAAACTTTCAGTTGGTCTACATTACCTTGTAGATTTCACACCCACCAAACCTAGATTGGTTACTCCTTAGAGAAAAAGACATGTATTTTCTGCTCTTCCCTACTGCATCAGTGCAGCTACCTACAGTGCACAGTGCCTGCCAATAACTTTGCTTTTCAACAAGCAACTGGCTGGGTTCACATATAATAGGACGCTACAGTCCTTGGTTTACCAATGATAACACCCTGAGACAAAATCAAGCAAAATCACATTATGGCTCTGTGGGATAAATGAACCCAGCCAGCATCAGAAGCAACAGTAGTTACATAAGTGGAAGAGAAATGCAATTTATCCATGTTCTATACACCAAAACTCCTCAAAGTCTCAAAAAACAGCAAACATAGCATATGTGACAACCCTTTCCCAGCAAATGATCACGCCATATGGACAATGGGAGAAGTGACAGTTGGAATCCAATGCTTTAATTATCACAAGGGATAATTAAACTCAATCTGTATTAAACAAAGTGAAATATGAATGAAATCCGGAGACTCTGCTGCAGATATCAAAATACAACAAACATAAAATAAATGAGCTTGCATAGAGAAAATAACCAGAGACAATAAATTAGATACAATCAGGTAGGGCATAACTTCCTAATGTCTAACCAAACTTGTTGAGATGGCACCAAACATTGATAAGAAGATCAACAAAAGATCTTACTAAACAGACTTCTTTATGAAAACAAATTTTCCTCTATTCCTATTTCTTACCTTAGAAGCCATTTCACTGATTTAATCTCCAATTTCTAGTTCCTCTCGTAGCTTGAACTCTGAACTGTTTTTCTGTCGTTTTCTTGTGATTCATGTACCACTCTATAATCTCAGATCCTGTATTTTATAATCCATAATTCTATGTCTTAAAGTCTTTTATTCTACAATCTCCCATCTCTTTTAAAAGCTGGTTCCTTGTCCTTAATCTGACCTTTCTGTTCTGAACTGGGGGGGCCTTGCTGTCCCCCCCCTCCCCAGTCCATGCTGCCTCTCAGTCACCTATATGGCCTCTTAGTGACTGGGTGCTTGAAAGATGGTTGAGGCGACTTTGTCTGGTCAGCTCTCGTTGCCTGCTTCCTGAAAACCAACCCTCCTTCTTCAAGCACTGGTTAGCACCCTAGGCTTCACCTCCCTGTGCCAGTGCTCAATGGAGGCCGCTTGGAAAAGCCTGCTAGTGCCTGTGGGCCACTCAAGGGAAGCTTCCAGCAGCCAGGTCATGTGGAGGACCTTGGCCAATGTCTTCTTGGCCCCTCTGCCTCTGTTGCATGTGTCCTAGTTGGTTGCCACTAAGGCTTGCCTGTTCTGCTCATGGCCAGCAGGATTTTGGCCACCCTGTCTTCACACCTTCTTCCTTCCATGCTTTACCTGCTGGAGTGGAACCCTGTGGAAAGGGCTACTTTGTCAAGTACTAAGTTTAAGCACTACAAAGGGTGCTTAAAAGAGACGAAGAGAAGGATCGGCATGGATCCTTCCTTCATCGTTATTTAGCGACAGCTGAGTTGGCTTGATCAGAATATTTTCAAATCCTGAACAACAGCAAAACACATTTTCAGGCAGATAATAACTAGACCACTGAAACTGACATTCAATGACTGAAGATGTTGGAGTAAAACTCCTCTCAACTTGCATACACTCTTTCCCACTTCTTGTCTGCTGTAAGAGCTGCTTAAGGAATTGGTGCAGGACCTAAAGGCTCTACTATGACTTCTGTTTTTTTGCTAATGTTTATTCATTGCACATAAACCCAACCTGAGATTTCAAGAGGCATACATGAGAATTGTCCCTAACTGTATTCCCTGAACTACCACTCATATGAACTCTATCCCTCGGCAAAAAGCCTGGGTAGCATTATTGGGGGG